AAAAAAAAAAAAAAAACCAAATTAATTCACTATATAAGGACTTTATCTCAGAAACCAAAATGCAGGGCTGAGGATATGACTCAGTGGCACAAAAGCCTGCCTGGTAAGTACAAGGTCCTGAGTTTGATTCTTGGTACCAAAAAAACCCAAAAATCAACAAACCAAAACCCCACCAAAATGAAAAAACAAAACCAAACAAAGCAAATTCGTACTTTGCATCACACCTACGAGGGCCCCCAGCCCCGCCCCCTGGCCACCTGCAGATGAGGGACTCTTTCCCTCCCCAGGTCCCACATGGAGCAGGTGCTTCCTCCTGGAGCTGAGGACCCAGGGATCTGGCTTCTGCTCCTCTTTTCCCACTCTTCCCTGGACAGATCTCTGGGTGCTCTGGAGATCAGAGTCTCAGAGAGCCCCCTTATCAGGTTTGAGCACCCCTAGTTACTCCAGGCTTTGGAAGCCAGGCTGGGGATGCTCTGGAATGGGAGAGAAAGACTTTTCTGGATTCTCATCCCTGCTGAGGCCTCTACAGGTGGGGAGGGACCCTGAAAGCCTGTGGCAGGGGTGAGTGACCACTCTCGCAGGACTGGTGGGAGTGAGGCTTTGGTGGCAGCAGGGACCAAGAGCCTCTGCTGCCTCTGAAGCCTCAACAGAAGTCCGTCAACTACTGCCTGGAATATGTGTGCTGGGGGGGACACATGCGGACCAAGAATCTCGGCGGGGACACACCGTCTAACTTCCCTCAGGAGTTTGGATCGGGTAGGGGAAGCAGGCCTGGTCTCATGGGAGCCCCAGAGTGTGTGGCCCGGGACCTGGGTGGTATTGTCTTCCCTGCCAACTGGCCAGACCAGAACATGGCCCTGCAGGTGCATTTTGTGTCATTAGCATGTAATTTGCATGCTCTCTGGTTTCTCCATTTCCCTGATCCTGGCTCTAGGGTCTCAAGAGTGGGAGCAAGAAGAGCATCCTTAAGACCCTCTACCTGTCGGGCATGACGGTGCAGACCTGTAGTCCCAGAACACCGGGGGCCGCTGCAGAGGATCACGGCCTGGGCGACTGTTGGCCAGCTCAGGGGACCCAAGGGCTATTTTCAGAGGTGAGGTCTCAAGGTTAACGCACATGTGCAAGACATCAGCAACAGCAGCAGCAAGCAGTACGGAGCAGAGCAGAGCACAGGAACCAGAGCGCAAGAGCAAGAGCTGCGTGTGTCTTTATTGTGTAATTATTATACAGGTTGTTAGCTCATATTTACATTCATACACAGTGCCGTAACCAGTGCATGCATGTTTACCTGTGCTAGGTCATGGTTACATACCTGTATCCCACTGTGTGCCTGGGCTAGACAAAGGGCTCATGTCTTCAGATGTCCTTAGATGCCCCTGACCTTTGAAGAAGGCTGAGTGATTCTCCACAGCAACATGTGTATTTTTTTTTTTTTTTCTATTTTAGGGAAGGGTCTACAGGGTGTTCAGGGTCTCACTGCTAGATCGGACTTGGAGTGATCTGCCTATTTACAGCCTCCCAAGAGCTGGGATTATAGGCATGTAAGCAATATGTGTCTTTTTTTTTCTGGAACCGGGGATTGAACTCAGGCCCTTGTGCTTGCCAGGGAAGCACTTATTCCACTGAGCCATCTCCCCGGCCCCACATATGTGTCTTGATGAAACTCTGACTTAAAATAAAAAAGGTTGAGGATATAGCTAAGTGAAACGTCTTCAATTTTGAGGGAGGGAGGGAGGGAAAAAGGAGAGAGAGAGAGAGAGAGAGAGAGAGAGAGAGAGAGAGAGAGAGAGAGAGAGATGGAAAGCAGCTCCTGGGAGAAATGCAGGAATTGGAATTGGAGTGTGTTATGTAGTAGAGTCAGAGCGAAGTCTAGGATCCTTTTTTCTGGCTTTAGCTTCCCAGGGGTCCTTCCAGGGAAAACCTAGAGCTTTGACAGATGCATCAGAGCCAAATGGTTGGACAGGTAAGAGGTTACCTGCCACTTCTGCCTGGACCCTTCTGCACTGTACGATTTTTTAGGACTTCTCCTCCAGGCAATCAGCTCTTGATATAAGTGTATTAAATTACTACAAAATTACTCTCATTAAGACAGTGTGGGGCTGGGGAGATAGCTCAATAGAATAAGCACTTGCCTGGCAAGGGCAAGGACATGAGTTCAATCCCCGGTTCCACCAAAAAAAAAAAAAAAAAAAAAAAGACAGTGTGCTAGTGGTGGAAGCCTAAAAGCTGGATGGATGGATGGATTATACCTGAGACTAACCTCTTACATTTATAGTCAGCTGATGG